GAATTATGGGTACCCACCCCATGTTGGGTGTCTGGTGTTTTTTTCTGCTTGAGTTTATGGAAGGGCTGTTGGGAGGAAGGGGCCCCAGATACACATGTCCAGCAGGATGCAGAATGGAGAGAAGTGAAACTCAGATCTAGAATCCAGGAAATGGGCTGAAATACCTTTTATAAAGTCCAGAGAGTAGGTGTGTATGAGTCACAAGCAAGGCCAGGCAGGGGATAGTCTGAGGGCCATCCAGAGATATAGTGTTCCCAGAACTGCCTGTAGTTGCTTCCCCCTTCCAAAGTAGAAACTAGGCCAGAACTTCACAGAGGAGTTGTGGTCTTTGCTTCAGAGATCCCAGCACACAATAAGGCAGCCCTATGTCTCCACTGGCCTTACATAGACCCTTCTCGGAGCTCTGGAACCACATTTGGTCTTCTAATTGAGATAAATCAGGACTCTGCAGACCCAGAGGACAGCAACAAACCTGACTGCTATATGAGAACGGGACTTGAGAGGAACGTTAAAGAAATTGGGACTGATTTGCCTAAAACAGTAAGGATGGGGTAGGAACTGAATTGAGGCATGAAATAAGAGGCCTGTGTCCAGTTATTGTCTAGTTTTGAGAGCAGGAAACCATTATTGCAGGAAGCAATCATCTAGTTTGCTACTAGATAGATCAGGTAAGGAAGGAATTTCATCACACCTATGAGACTTGGCCTTCCCTGCAGTTACTGTAAAGGAGACCCTGCCTCTTCCCTGAGAGGAAACCTGTTGGAGACCAGACATGGAGAACCTGACTTATTCCAAAATATATTTAAGCTTTCTTTAGTCCCAGTAAACTCCAGCTCTGCTGGCCTTTGGGAGACCGCCTTGTCTTTTGAGCAACATACGAACACATATTCAGAGCCCCAGAACAAGTGAGATGCACTTAGAGGACTCAGAGTCAGCATTCCTGGAAACTAGAGACAAATGCAGGCATGGATATTTGCCTGGAAATGTGTGCTTTTTATTGTGCTCTAACAGGTTACTTACCTAACCTCCAAAGAATTTGATGGTTCGAAACAAAGCTCATTATTTCATGGGCACTCTGTGTGTCAGAAATTTGAAGGCAGTTTAGCTGAGGCTCTACCGTGGGTCTTTCCTAAGGTTGTAGTCAAATACTATCCCAAGTCACTGTACCCTGCAAGTTTAATAGAGACTGAAAGAGCCATTTAGGGAATGGCTTATTCACACCACACCCAGATCCTGGTTCCTGACCATAGTCTTCCTCTATGGTGCTACTTGAACGTTCTCAAGATGGGTCCAGATTTCCTTAGACTGATTGGCTTGAGTCAAGAAAGACTCAAGACTCACCCATTTCAATGGAGCATGTCACCAAGGTCAAAGGGGCAGCTCTGCTCACCCTGAATTAAGGAATGAGTATCACTGAACATTTAGATTATTCTTGTGACTCCATCTCCTTTTGTGGATATCCCGTTTGCCTTTCTACTCAGAGTGGGGCAGTCTCACGGCTTTCAGAAATTGATATCCCTTCCACCAGTGAGGAAGTCCAAATGGCAGGTGGCATATAAATGCAGGTGGGGTGCCCTTTCCTTCTGTCTGCTTTGACACGGAGCCTCTATAAGTGTCCTTCCACCCTTGTCCTACTTAAGTATTGAATCTGTGTGGTAATGGATTCTGGGGGTCGCAGAGATTGGAGGTTGCATCTGCCTGGAGGAGAATCCCTTGGGGCAGGATTCTATGGAGGTGAATGGAGGGGAAAACCTGGGTTCTAGGAAGGAGAAAATCTAAAACAAGAAGCATAGGAAAATGGATGGCATTTGCTACAGGCTAAGAGGTGCAGGAATTTTAGTCTAAGAGATGGAATTAACAAGGTTTCCAAGAATCTCAATCGTGGGGCCATTGTGTTTGTTTACTTTTGCAACAAGCCTTGGGAGCTGTGCTTGGAGAGAGAAAAGCTGTTTTGTGAGCTGTCTCAAGTTCCATCAATAGGTCAAACTGCCCACACTGGAGAGGCTGCCTGTAAAATCGCAGCTGACCAAAATTTGCCTCCGTGTTTCCTCTCCTTGTACTCAATGGGAATTGAGCTAAATGCAAGCTTGGGTAAGAAATAAGTGCCCCCTGTTCATTGTGAATGCCCAGGCTGTTAGACAAAAATAGCACACAGGAAACAGTATTGCAAAGGTCAATTCTTCTAGAAAGGAAGGGACAACACGCCATCTATCTGAAATTTTAATGAGCAGATCCTGGCCTCTGACCCCACACCATTACCTAACAATCCAGTATTGAATGCCATGTCGGTTTCCATTTCCTGTGAATGAGGAGGGAGAATTCCCATTCGAAGGCAGACCATCTGCCGGACGCCAGCTTTGCTCTCTGCCTAGCTGGCTGCGGTTGATGTACGTGTAGTTTTTATGGATGGAGTGGCAGCCAGGCCCATGCTTCACAGCCATGATGAATCAGAAGGCTGGGAAGGCAGGACTTGTGGCTAGAATTTTCTATTTCTCTTTCTACAATGGCTGGTTTCATTCAGTCAAACACCAAAGATAGTCTTGGGGCACATTTGGCCTTCTGGAGACAGCTTTGCAACTTCTACACTTAAAAAAATAAGGTTATTATTTCTTATAGTAAAGAGCAACAGTAGAGTACTAAAGAGCTAAAAGAAACGGATATTGAATGTATAAAGCCCCCAGCACACATGAAGAAACCATTCCTGTGATCAGTGGTTTGGGCTAACAGCTGCTTCCATCCTAAAGCCATTGTGTCCTGGTGACCTCAAAGGAAATAATTTCCAAGTCTTTTGCTTGGTGTTTCCGATCTTCTGCAGAACAGCAGTAGTGGATTACATAAACCTGTCCTTCTGGGTCTTCTCAGCAGAACCCCCATGTAAAAGGTCAAGCGACAGGTGTCTTTATGGAGCACCCTGGGGGGGTGGGTGGCGAGTCTTTGTATTGGGTCCTCAGTGCTCAATACCTCCCAAGAGACGTGACTTAGCCTACACTGAGAGGGAAGGTTGGAACTCGGGGTCATAAAAGACTTAGGCTGCACCTAAGACGAGTCTGAGCTACTGTGTGGCTGTGGGAAAACCACTTGGTGCTTCAGTGTGCTGTGGCTTCTTCGTCTATCCATTAAAGTGGTGTGACACAGGTGACACCCTCTACCACAGACCATGTGAAGACCGTGTGCCATACATAATGACGTAGTAATCTAACCTAGTTATCGTTCGGGGTTATTGTGTGCACACTGCCCAGTTTACTGGATTATACTCCAAGACTGAATAATCCTGCCAGGTGTGGTGGTGCACAACGTTAGCCCCAGCACGTGGAAGGTAGAGGTAGCAGATCCTGGTGAGTTCAAGGCCAATGTGCTCTATATAGTGAGTTCCAGGACAGCCATGGGGCCATATAGAGAGACACAGCCTCAACAGAATAAAAAGATAGAAAAGTCTTTGAAGGCAAGAGGCACTTCTCTACAGTTTATTTTCACAAGTCCCTAATGTAACATTGTTAATTCTGATTAACTGAGGGAATGAACACAAGGACAAACATACAAGGCTGACTAGTAACAAGACTGGCTTCAAATGGTGCCTCTTTCCAGGCCTTGTTTCCAAGGTGAGTATGAAGCCTCTCACCTGAGGTCCTGTGCTGCATGGGAAGTGAGAGATGCTGCATACCGCTGCCTGTGAGAGGCAGTTGGTGAGTAAAGCAGATTTTCCAGGGAGACAGAAAGGAACCCAGGCTTCTCCTACCCCATTCCTCTCATACTGGGGACCTGTCCCACAAAAGGGGACGTTGTAGGATCAGAACACAATCTCTATGGTTGACCTGAATCTCAGCTGTCGTATAATCTTTCTGGAGCCTTTAAAACGGCCAGATTCTGAGGTCGTTGGCCTGGATCGGGACAGCATCCCCTGGAGGCCTTACAGTTCTAGAAAGTCGCCGTGTTAGGAACCACAGTGGCCATCATACCCCAGATGCCTTGCTGCTTCTGTCTTCCTGGCCCCTGTTGCTTCTCACATGGTTCTTAGGAGGACAAGCTCTGTTAGGAAAACTGTCAAGCAGAAGAGGGGAGCACAGCTACAGCCCTGAGGTGAGGGGAGCCCCTTAACCACTTTGTTGGCACTTGCCTAGCTGTGCTCTGGAGGAGCTGCTCATTCTGAAGACATAGGGGATGTCTGACAATTGACATTTTCTCTCAACCACCAGTCTTGCTCACCATCTTTGGGGGCGTGGAGGGCACTATCTTACTTTGTAGCCCAGGGTGACCCTTGCTAGCTTCAAACTTGCTAACCCTCCTGCCTCAGGCCCCCAAATTTTAGGATTAAAGGCACAAATCACTGAGCACGCTTGGAGTCTGCATCTATGACAAGCCAAACCAGGCACCCCTTAGGATCAGTGAAGTTGGAAAGTATCTGGACCTTTTCCTGGGTCTAGACGACGGAAAGGAAACTTTAGCCAATCAGAGTAAAAAACAGCATTACACCGAAAGCGCTGTGCCTAAGTATCTGGTGCTGTAAAGTGAATCATGTTCCTCAGGTGTGAGGTGCTGGTTTGCGGCCCTGGGACCCAGCAGCCAGAGCCTGACTGCCTGTGCACCATAACCCCAGACCCGTTCCTCGCGCCCTGCGTATTCCCGGCTAGCCAGCAGCTAGCAGCCCAGTCATCCTTTCCAGCCTCAGTCTGGAAAGCTGGACCCCGCCGCCGCGTGTGCTCTTGGCTGCCGGCGCCCAGGGCCCCAAGGCCACATCATCTTGAGGCTGGGAAGTGTATGCTCCCGAGCCGTCGCCGCCGCGGAGCAGAGTCTACGCGAGCGGCCCGCACTCGGTGTCCCGGTGCATCCTGCATCCAGCCGTCCCCGGGAGTGGGCGGAACCGAGGCGGGCGGGGAACCCAGAGCGGTCTCTAGGACCCGCGGGATGCCTCAGGCGGGCGGGGTGCGGGGGAGACGCTAATTTGTTCCGTAGTAATGAGACCGGCGACTGCTGGCCGCGGATCCATTGCACAGGCCCGCCCTCAGATCGCTGGTCCCCGGCGCCAACTCGGACAGGCTGCTCATTTATTGCAACGGTCAAGGGCGGCTCGTGCCAGAGTAGCGCGCGCGCGCACGCACACACACGGGGAGGGGAGAAAGTTTTTTTTTGAAAAATGAAAGGCTAGACTCTCTGCTCCGCGGTCGGGGCGTTGCACGAGGGGGTCGCGGCAGACTCAGGGCAGTAGGACGTCCCCCGGCTCTGCGCCCGCGTGGGATGCTGCGGCGCTGGCTGCTGGGCCCCCGAAGCAGCTGCACGCCAGGCCGGCGACAATGGCAGAGCGCCCGCCGCGGCGCGCGCCCCCCGCCCGCGCCCTCCTGCTGGCCCTGGCCGGGGCCCTGCTGGCGCCCCATGCGGCCCGAGGTAAGTCACCCGTACAGGCGGCTGCCCGCGCGTCCCCTCCCTGCCACCTCGAGCCAACCTGGGTTCTCAGCGTGCCACAGCCACAGGGAGAGGAGACGCACTGGGGCGCATCTGCGGAACCCCCGGCTCGCGCTTGCAGCGCCTTGACACCCGTCCCCTGCCAGGTGCCCACCTGGGAGGTTGGGGATGTGTGCGTGGAGAGGACATTTGGCTCCGGACCTTGAAGCAGCTAGCCTCCCCTGTTGGAGTGACATTTACTCCTAAGGCTCTCTCAGTGTCTTGACAGTTACACGTGTCGCCTGAGAGGGTGTGCGTGGGGTCATTTTACTGATTCCGTGGGTTAACGACTCCACCCGGGTTCAGAGTCAACCCCCACCCCACCCCGACGAGGTTTCCTTCCCACCACCGCCTTGACACGGCTGGGGGACGCACGGTGGCCGCGCAGATGACCCCCACCCCCTGCCACGCACACACACACACACACACACACACACACACACACACACACACACACACACACACACACACAGGTGTACCTGCAACGCTCTTTACTCTTTTTGCTGTTGTTTTGTTTTAATTGACTTCCTTGCCTATGTCAGCACTTATCGATCTCCCGCTTCACTTCCTAATTGTCAGTAGCGATCAAACTTTAACAGAACATTTTCTTCCCTCTTGCTCATCCTTGGTGATAAATAATTGCTTACATCAAGACCTCGTGTAGATCGAGACCCCTCTTCGGAGTTAGACGAAAGTGCATCCATTAAAGGCTTTTTTTTTTCTTTTTACAAAACTTTTTTCCCCCTGAGTTGAATCTCCTTAAAGCCTGGGCACCTGTGGATCCTGTTTGCATAATGAGAACTCACAGCAGGTGCCTTCTTAAAATTCGGGAGCTTTCCTCGTCCCCATTGCTGCTGGCTCCTTCTGCCGCTAGGGGCGCTGTTCACCAATGAATAATTCGCCTTGGCCTCAGACTCTTAGATTTCTGTGATTCTATGTAACAGGCATTTAGTTTTCAGCACTGTTTCCAACATGAAACGTTTTATTTCTCAGCTGTCACTGTTACCCTCCACTCTAGCACTTCTGCCATAATGTGACTAAATCCCAGCTCCCATAAATATCTACACAGCAATATAGACCAACCTGGCAAACTGGTGATTAAATTAAAAGATTGCACACATCAACGTAATATCAGTGAGAAAGGCAACAACACTGAAGACTATTCAGGAACTCTGGGACCTAAAGGTGAAAACCTCAGTCAAAGGTGGTTTTGAAAGAGTTTTGGACAAACTGATTCCTTTGAAGGTTTTACAGCATGTAAACATGTAACTAAGTTTCAAAGTAAGCCTGAGGTGGTCCTGAACTTGGCACATACTTCACACACATTAAACATAAGTCTGAGCACAGCTGATATTTTTTAAAGGCAAATGTTTATTAAATAAAGCTAATAGTGGGAAATTATTTGGGGGAGCATTTATTACTTCATGGCTGCAGCTTTGGTAGACAGAACCCTCCCTGTTTTGGGAGAGAGAGAGCTTTGGCAAAGCAGTAAGGCCAACACAATTTAGTGGCTTAAGTATTGTGGTTTGATATTCCAAGTTCATGGTGTGTTTATACTTGGAGTCTCAGGATCAAATCTCAGTCCATGACCCAAATCATGTCACTGAAGACATTTAAAATGCAAACACATGAAACATTTATTCATGTTGGCAGAAGGGAGGAATCATTACTTGTTGAGGATTGAGCATATCCTGAGTTTGCCTGTAGTCTCGTTCATTACCCTGAGTTCGAGCACAGCTCAGCCTAAACATGTCCAAAACATGTCCTAGACCCCAAACCCTTCACTCCCAGCAATCTTCTTCACTGCAATAATGATATCTGTTGCATTGTCCTGGTGCCTCATGCTGACATGTCACCCCAGAGACTCCCTTTCACAACATAAGCCACCAACTATGAGGGTGTATTCTCATCTCCCCAGCTCCTTCCATTTTAGTATACCTTTCCATCCATGCTGTTGTCATCCTCTGTAGAAGCTTACTTTCATTATAGCAGTTCTTGAGTTGTAGGCTTGCTGTTCCTCTTGTCCTCACATGGGGTATGCTCCCCAACACTGTTGCCAGTGTTAGTACAGTCTAATGTGGAATAATCTTTTTGTACACTGTGAAGATGTGTCTTTGCCAAGGTGCCTCTGATTGGTTTCATAAAGAGTTGAATGGTCAATAGCTAGGCAGGAAGAGGTTAGGTGGGACTTCTAGGCAAAGAGAAAAGGAGAGGAGGAATAGAAGCAAGGAGAGAGATGCCAGGAGACACAGAAAGGAAATAGGAGGTAGATGATGGAAGAGAGATAATGCCACATGATAGAACATAGATTAAAGCAAGCTATATATAAGTTATAAGAGCTAGTTAGGAACAAGCCTAAGTTATAGGTCAAGCTTTCATAACTAATAAAGAAGTCTTTGTGTCAATATTTGGGAGCTGGCTGATGCGACAGAGAAAGACTCATTACAACAGTCCATCCTGAATCAGATCATGTGAGTTGCCTTTCCTTGGATTCTGTTTTAGGCATGTTTGTGCTGAGCTGTGCTGGAACTCAGGGTAATGAATGAGGTTACGGTCAAATTCAGGATATGCTTAGCCCTCAACAGGTAATGATTCCTCTCTTCTGCCAACATGAGTAAGTGCTTCATGTGTTTGCATTAAACACATTCAATCCCTCCTATTATTTTCATGTTCATGTATGTGTATGAGAGTTTATGTCTGTGGGTACATGTAGAGGACAGAACACAGCCTCCAGTGTCAGTCCTCAGGTATCACTCACCTTTTTTTTTGAACACTGTCTCTCACTAGCTAAACTGCATCAAGTAGTGTGGCTGGTTGACCAGTAAGCCCTAGAATCTATCCATCACTGCCTCTTAGGGGATTACAAGTGTGCACCATCAAACCAGACTTTCATGTGGATTTTAGTAGTTAAGCTCAAGTCCTCATGGTAGCACAGCAAACAATTTTCAAATTGAGCTATCTCCTCAGCCCCATGAACTTGTTATGTTTTAGGAACATGATCCAGCAATTGCTCCAGGCCTCTCATTAACCAAGAACCTGGGAAGTTCTCATACATCCTTCCCATATTGCTTCACTTATTTTCCGAGCACATAATTTTTTCTTCCTTTTTTTTTTTAAAATTACACCTTCCAGGAAGAGTATTTGGGTGGTATACACTTTGAAAAATATTTTGTATGTATAGGTATGTTGCTTTCATGTATATCTGCACTATGTGCTTGCTTCATGTGGTGTCTGTAGAATCCAGAAGAGGGCACCAGATCCCTTGGAACTGTAGTCTACAGATGTTTGTGAGCTGCTGGGTAGGTGCTGGTAATTGAACCTGAGTCCTCTGGAAGAACAGCCAGTGCTCTTAACTGTTGAGCCATCTCTCCAGCCCAAGATAGTTCTTTAGTAGCTTGTGAATGTGTGATGGCTGCTTTTAGTTGCAAATAATGAAAATCATGATTGCAGCAGTTTTTTGTTCTTTTTTCTTATATAGAAAGCCACCATGAAGTGAACAGTATAGGAGTGATTTTACAGGTGTCACAGGCCAGTGATACAACCAGAGGCATTGCATGTTCCTTGTATCTGCTATTCTAAGATGCTGACTTCTGTACTTACACTTACTGCCTTTTGGTCTCCTGCTGGCTGCTGTACTTCTTGTTCTCCTTCCCCAATTCTAGGCAGCAATAGAGCAAAAGAGGCAAAAGGTGAAGACCTACCATTCCCTCTCTTTCTCTTTCAGGAAAATAATATTTTTATAAACCTTTTAGTAGATCCACAACTTTCACTGTCAGTTTATAACCAAGGACATTGTGCATTGCACAGGACTCGAAGAGATGGTATGTGTGGCTGTGCCCACAGGCATTTCTAAAAAATGTGTGTTTACATGTATAAAATTATTGCCACATTTGACATACTAGCATTTTCTTCCTTCTACTGATATTTGGCTTCTGTTCCTTCCTTGTGGAAACAAATTTTATTTTTAAAAAAGAAATGAGGTGAAATAATTTAAAGAAGTTGAGCACATTTCTTCCCCATACAGATGTGTGCTCTCTCTCTTTTTCTCTGTCTCTATCTCTCTCTCTGTCTCTCTCTCTCACACACACATACATATTCATTTGTGTATATGAATATGATACATTACATATTATGTATATGCATATGTCTATATATACATGCAAGGTATGACCAACATTCCAGTCTTTTCTTTGTGTGTGTTCTTCATTCATCCTTGATTACTAGTTTGGTAGAAGTCATATGTCCTTGGTAGTCAATAAGAAATTTCTTTTTTGTCTCTATGCCCACTACCACTTGAGAACATGAGAAATTAATAGCATGTTTATTGTTCATCTTTTAAACATGTTTCCTTTTACTATCTTTACTTTCTAACTGTAATTTTTACGTTCTGTGTGGTGTGCTTAATTGGTGTTCTTTTCTATAACCACACTGGGAACTCAGCATGACTGTCAGATTGAAATTTTGTGTTAGGAAGTTCTACTTTGCTTTCTCACGTTATTTCTTTGGCTGTTTCATTTTCTTCCTTATCATTTTCTATCTCTTCACTTGATTCTATTTGGGAGCAAGTAGTTCTTTAACTGTATTTTCTAGTGTCCCCTATGTCCCATTCAATTAAAAGATGTTTACTGCCATCTGATCTCCAAGAGTAGTTCTTGTTGCATAAATTGCCTTCATTTTATGATAATGACCACATCTTCTTGTCATTTGTACGAGGTTTCTGTTAGCTCTGAATGCATTACTGGTTGGTAGACACTCTTTGTTAACCCCAGGGTCACTGTGAATTTTGAGATTCTTCTCTTCTCCCTTTGGAAGAATCTCTGACTTTCTTCAAACATTTGAGTTTAGGTTCACTGTTCCCATTTAATAATGGGCTTCTGCTGACTGGAAGTTCTATGTGCTTTCTCAGATGATAACTTTTTATTTTTTGCATTTTTTATTTTCAA